TATCCTTATTTAAATCTTAAAATATTGCTTTTTAACAAATATAACATCCATAATTTTGTTCTTAACAATTAACAGAAGCATTTTGTATTTACATAGCTCCTGTCGTAAGGAACTTTAAACACTTTAAATATTTAACTTTTCCTGCTGATGGACCAAAGCTATAATTGATAGTTAACCATCTTTTGGTTTACAAAATCATTAGAAAGTAAAATAGCTAATGCAGATGATTACTATAATTTAACATTTTTCTTTAAAATTCTTTACCTCATAGCAGTATAGTCTATAAATCATCTTATCTCTGCTACCAGATGCCAGCTTTTAAGAAATAAATCTCTTTTTTGGAAATAACACTTGTATCATTTCTGAGCTTCGTTTTGAAGACGGTAATTAATTAGATTTAAAGCTCTATTCTGTTTCTTTTACATTTTTTTTCTATCTAATAACTTCTAATTTTTATTAATAAATGTGGAAGATACTGCACGGATATGCTGTTTAATTAAACTTTTTAAAGAAATGCTATGCTATTATGAAAATAAAGACCATTTGGAAATATGTGAAAATACATTTAGAAAAAACATATGTGATACTATACTATGCTTGAGAATAACAAAGCCATCAATGGTAGGCCAAATGTCTATAGATACACACAAACACAGATACACTGGAATTCTGTGAAAAATAAAAAATTTTTAAGGACATGGTTTAAAAAAGAGTAAATAAGGAGGTTAACTTATTATTTACAGTATAATGTTCATTAATAAAGTAGAATTGGTAGCTAATTATTTGAACTCGTTGGAAATCAAGCAACACTGAATATTTTTTTCCCTCAAATCAATATCATGTCTTGCTCAAAATTTAGAGCAGAGACTTATGTGTATAACACACTCTTTCTCTCATTCAACATCTAGGCCAAGAGACATATATTACTTCACAACACTCTTCTAGTTTCTCTATCCACTGTTCTTTACCTCTAGCTATGGGCAACAAGGATAGAACTTCACATAACATTCAGACATCTAGTTCAATCTTCCACTATCTTCTCAAACACATACATCTCTATATTCTCTCCTGTGGCCTTTCTTTATCAAATGCCATTTCCTATTTCTGCAGTATTCCCGTCAAAATGCATGAGTTGGGGGGACTGGGACTTGAGGGGCCGACGTGCAATTCAGTTTCTACCCCAGCTACCTCACAGGTCGGCACTGACCAGAGGTGGCAACCTCCAGCCAAGCAGTCTGACATGGCGCCTTGTCAGATGCGGTGACTCACTACTCTAGTCCCAGCACTTTGGGAGGCTGAGGCAGGAGGATCACTTGAGCCCAGGAGTTCAAGACCAGCCTGGGCAATATAATGATAGCCCGTCTCTACAAAAAATGAAAAAATTGGCCAGGCATGGAGGCTGAGCTGTGAGGTTCGCTTGAGCCCAAGAGCTCAAGGTTCCAGTGAGCTATGATGACGCACTGCACTCAGCCTGGGTGACAGAGCGAAACCCTGTCTCTAAAAAAAACAACCAAAAAACCCCATAAAAAACAAACAACCTCCCCGAAAACATGGTCTCTTATAAATTTCTTATCTACTTTTATAATATTTCAGTTGCAGATGCACAGGGTTCCTGGGAAATTCTTATCTCTGTTGTGTCATAAATATATTCCCCAAACTCACGTTCAAGTTTATTTAGGAGCGTGTTTTACGCTGTGATTGATGTATGAATTACAATTTGAATAACACTGGTTTAGGTACTTGTCATTATCAACACTTGACGAAAACCATTCTATATTTTACAGGAAATGTACGCAATCTCGTATCCAGCTCTTCAGCCATATAATGATATTTACTAAAAACCTAGTATGTGGGTCACTGTGCCAGGAATCAGAGACTTAAGATGGAAAGGGAGACACTCATGATCTACTGCAGTGTTTCCTCAGGACGACAATCCATGCTCTTACGTGAACAAAAAGGTCCACGGTAAAAGAAGTTTCAGGACTGTGGGGTAAACAAATGTCAATAGATTCATGTGTGTCAGACTTTCAGAGCTGACATACAGAGTTCGTGTGTATGTCCTATTTTCCACAATTATTTTACTATGGAGTCTCCCTTTTTTCCCCCACAGGACAGCTAAGGGATTACTGTGCAATAAAACACACTTGCAGAATCATCCCAAGCGAGGAAAACTGTCTTATTCAGTCTTTGCATCGCCAGTGCCTAATCTGAATGGGGTACTCGATCATTGTTTGTTAAATGAATAAACAGAGAAATTTACTATACTATGAGGTACAAAGTAGTAAATGCCCTGACCAAGACATAAATAAATCTTACAGAAATTCAGAGAAGAGAAAGATTATGTTCAGCTAAGAGAAATCAATCGTATGAGTTTTAACGGATGAAATGACACAGAAGAAAATTTCTAAAGGATGGGGCCATTTGGAGACTGGGGAAGGCAGCTGAGCAGAGAGTCAATGTGAGGGGATCTGGACATTTCTCCAGGCTGAAGGTGATAGTAGTTGCTCATTTTTACACTTCAAATATAGCTGCATTCCGATCACGATTTTTGCCACTTAAGCTTTCATGTTTTCTATTAGGAAACAATCAAAAAGGCAAAATATATTAAAATGAATTTATAGTCTGATAGGACAGTTTTAGGCAAACACTCACTGCTATTCGGGTTGTCTCCTATGATATGGTGCCGCCCACTCCAGTACCAGAGAAGCAGGGTGGCATCTCGAGATCCAGACACGATGTAGCAGTCCCCACCTATGTATGACTCGGACCTGGCCAAGCATGTGACCACATCCCAGTGGCCAAATACAATCTGAGTCAATTTCCCTGCAACACAGAAATGACAGGTTTATTTCATTTAATCTTCAAAAAGAAATAAGCACAAGTTTATTTTACCAGATATTTTTTATTTTACCAGATTTTTAAAAAATTTTCTGTTATCAGATTTGTGAAAAGTCAATCTATAGACTCACAAATTTATAATGTAATTCAAATCTAGCTACAGGTGCTTTTTTGCATTGCTTCTGAAAACTGATACGAGAATATCATTTGGGATTTTTAAGGAAAGGACTTATTAAAGAACACAATCATGATTTTTTCTCTTCAGGGTTTGGGCCATACTAAGGGGAGGTTTAAGATCTTTTACTAGATATGAATTTGGGGTAGGAGACAATAGCTGTATTTGTCTTATGAACTTGGGGATCACGTTAAAGTTCGGAATGGATAAAGTTAGTTATTTAGTTTACAATGTGAACATTTAATTTCAATCTTGACCACTCAAGTTGACAAATGATGAGAATGTCTACACTAGTAAGTGAGTTTATATTTAGCTTTGGTTGCAACAACAGCATTTTGAAGAGAATAAGGTATTTTGTAGTTAAGATTACCTGTTTCTGTGGAATAAACTCTGAAGCTCTTATCCCAGAATCCACAGATAAGAATATAGCGATTATCTGCTGTGACCACAAAACAATGTGCATTGATTTGTATACTCTGGTCAACCAGGTCTGTGATCTGCCGTTTGTTCACACCAGAATTATTGGCTGAAAATACATAGGAAAAAGCCCTTAAAGAAAGATTCCACAAAAGTTTCACCAAGGACTTACAGAAGGAAAAGAATATATTTATGCTTCACTTATCTAGAAACAGACTTTCAATGCTACAAGATTATTAAGATTTTAACGTCTTCCCTTGAGGAATATAAATTTCCTTAGTAGCAGTGATAATTTATGAACCATATTGCACGTTTAAAAATTATACCAGAAATTTCAGTTCTTCCTCCACCAGTAAATAAAAACAATATGAGGAATTCAAGATAATGAATTTAAAATGCAATAAAAATATTTAAATGCATTTAATTCTACAGATGTTCACAATGCAAAAGTTCATTAGTTCATAAGAACCAAATGAGAAATAAATATTGTATGAAGTATGTTATACAAGGAAAAAATATCTTAATATATGCCCCAATCTGTCATTTCCTGACGGTATTTACAATTCATGTGGAAAGAGGAGGGTAGAGATTTGAGCAAGGGATGTTGTTATGTGGGCAGCCCCACAGGGAGCTTTAGGTCAGCAGCTTTAAAGACCTGATTGTCAACAAACAACAGGCCTTTCCAGACTGGACTGGCAGCAAGGAGGAGAGGAACAAAAGGATGGGAAAGGGATTGGGGAAGAAAGAGACAGGCAAAGGATCAGTGAATAGCACTGGGACTGAATCTGAATAAAGCCAGGAACTCGGAGACACCACATGATTTCCCCAGTGTCTGTCTGCATGCCAGCCTGTCCCTTCCTCCACGCCATCCTTTCAGGCTAAATCCCTGGGCTGAATCCTTAAACAGAAAATGCAGATGTAGGAGGTCACCATCACCACTCTCTAATGCCAATTAAATCTAAGTGCTACTATTTGTAGATATCTACTAACGCTATAAACATAATTACTAGGGAATGTAAGCAATAAAAAAATATACACCAAAAATGACAACAAAACAAAGGAACTATGGAAAAAAAACCCAAAGATCCTGGGTCATTTGAAAACTATATAACTGGTCCTTGATTAATTACAATAGAGCTATTAATTTTTCCATGGTTACTCATTAGCTGTATATTTCATTGCCAATGTCTGTTGGACAGAGGAATAGCTAGACTAGATGCTAAAAATATTCCTAGTCCAAAACCTTATATCTTCCTAAAGACATATAAATGCTATTTTGTACAGGAGTATAAATAACCAACTGAAATGGTTGTATCTTATCTTATTTCTGGGTTTAAAGATGAAGGGTGACTTAATCTAAGAATGAAACACCATAACTTATACATAGTTTAATAATTTCTCATAGCATTTTCAATTTTCTTCAATTTAATTTTCTAAACAATCCCATGAGACAGGTGGAACAAATATTATCATAAACCATGTCACAGATACGAAATTGAAGTCCTAGAAAGATTAAGACGCTTGCTCTGGATCATATGGCTAGTAAGTGTGTATGTGATTATTTATTATATTTTGAATATCTGCTGCAAAGAGTTACAGCTCATTGGTTTGCAATCATATAAAATCTTTACTTCAAGAAAATGATTAGCCCTATTGAATAGAGACTTCTAGAAAACATGGTCTTTGATATTAGTTTCCTTTAATAATT